GGGTCGGACAAGACTCTGTAAACTGTCCCGACATTAATTTCGGTTAGTTCCTTTATGGGTCCGACAAGACTCTGTAAACTGTCCCGACATTAATTTCGGTTAGTTCCTTTATGGGTCCGACAAGACTCTGTAAACTGTCCCGACATTAATTTCGGTTAGTTCCTTTATGGGTCCGACAAGACTCTGTAAACTGTCCCGACATTAATTTCGGTTAGTTCCTTTATGGGTCCGACAAGACTCTGTAAACTGTCCCGACATTAATTTCGGTTAGTTCCTTTATGGGTCCGACAAGACTCTGTAAACTGTCCCGACATTAATTTCGGTTAGTTCCTTTATGGGTCCGACAAGACTCTGTAAACTGTCCCGACATTAATTTCGGTTAGTTCCTTTATGGGTCCGACAAGACTCTGTAAACTGTCCCGACATTAATTTCGGTTAGTTCCTTTATGGGTCCGACAAGACTCTGTAAACTGTCCCGACATTAATTTCGGTTAGTTCCTTTATGGGTCCGACAAGACTCTGTAAACTGTCCCGACATTAATTTCGGTTAGTTCCTTTATGGGTCCGACAAGACTCTGTAAACTGTCCCGACATTAATTTCGGTTAGTTCCTTTATGGGTCCGACAAGACTCTGTAAACTGTCCCGACATTAATTTCGGTTAGTTCCTTTATGGGTCCGACAAGACTCTGTAAACTGTCCCGACATTAATTTCGGTTAGTTCCTTTATGGGTCCGACAAGACTCTGTAAACTGTCCCGACATTAATTTCGGTTAGTTCCTTTATGGGTCCGACAAGACTCTGTAAACTGTCCCGACATTAATTTCGGTTAGTTCCTTTATGGGTCCGACAAGACTCTGTAAACTGTCCCGACATTAATTTCGGTTAGTTCCTTTATGGGTCCGACAAGACTCTGTAAACTGTCCCGACATTAATTTCGGTTAGTTCCTTTATGGGTCCGACAAGACTCTGTAAACTGTCCCGACATTAATTTCGGTTAGTTCCTTTATGGGTCCGACAAGACTCTGTAAACTGTCCCGACATTAATTTCGGTTAGTTCCTTTATGGGTCCGACAAGACTCTGTAAACTGTCCCGACATTAATTTCGGTTAGTTCCTTTATGGGTCCGACAAGACTCTGTAAACTGTCCCGACATTGATTCCGGTTAGTTTCTACAAGGGTCCAGCAAGACTCCGTAAACTGTCACAACAACTGTCACAACATTGTCTGCTACAACGGTCCGACATGACCCCATAAACTGTCTTCTACATCGGTCTGACACTGCCATCCAGTGTTCTCTACACCGTTATGATACCACCATACAGTGTCCTCTACAACGTTATGACACCCCCATACAGTGTCCTCTACAACATTATGACACCAACATACAGTGTCTTCACCAACGGTCTGACACGACCATACAGTGTCTCCTATCCTTTTTTTATGTATTTTCTTGTTTTGTTCCTCTCTTCAAACTCAAGTTGGTTAGTTTCTATCCTCCTTGAGTTTGCGGGGGGCTGTTAGAATTTACCATCACCTACCACCACTACCACCTCACCTACTCCACTAAACCTAACCCACTACACCACTACCACCTCACCTACTCCACTAAACCTAACCCACTACACCACTATCACCATCCACTACACACCATCCACTACACCTACATCTATATAAGGAACCATTTGTAATAGACAGAATATGAATCAACATACATCAATCAATAATACTTCAATTTTAACACAATTTATCATACAACCTAGCATGTATCAAATTTGAAAGACAGCCTTATGTGCTGAAGGACATACCTGGTAGTATGATACTGATGTAGGAAAACTTAAGAACGCAGATTTTGGTGAAGATGCAACTGGAAACAGTGGCAATAAATCCTCAAAAAGTATCTTCTTGGAAATTGTAGTAAAGGGCACTTCGAAGGCCTGCTTGAAACTGCCAATGTGGAGTGATGATAAAATGCATTAATAACTAGAAACAAGCCACATGACTATTCAGTTAAGTTTTCTTAGAGTAAAAGAAAGAAAGAAAAAAAAAATCCTAATTTTTTTAGAAAGACTAGAGAACGAACTCTTTTAAATGTGTATCCATTTTGGACACTTAACACTTGGGTAAGGGTATGGGATATGTGTTCAGCTAAGAAGCATGGACATTTCTGCAAAGGAAGCGTGTCGTGTCCAACATCCGTGTCTGACACCGACACTCTTCAGACACTTCTTCAAAGTGTCTTAATTAAAAAAACAAATCCATGACAGTGGACACTTCGCCAAAACTTCGTGGATACTTCGGTGATACTTTTTGAACCCTCCAAATACCTCCTATGTGATGAATTTTTTCATAATAACAATGTCCTACATTCTTAAAAAAACACAACTTATGCATTCTAAATATGTTTGGAAATATTTACAAAATGAATACATCATGTGTATTACAATGTTCTATAATTTGTTTTGTATTCTTTAGAATGTAATTATTACGGAATGGTATATTGATGTTTAAGTTATGAACTATATAGTTCTTTTAATGTGATTAGTGTCATGTTATATATTTTCCATTATCTTTGGATAAAATATTCATATATATTTATGATATATAATATATTTTTCAAAAATAAAATTTTAATGTGTCCCAAACGCATGGTGTCCTACAATTTTTGGAAACCAACGTGTAGGCATGCTCGTGTCTATGATACTTAGGTGTCCACCGTGTGTAATTGGACATTTACCCAAAAAATGTCGTGTAGTTCTAGTTTACCATATAATTATGCATGAAGCTTCCATATTATACGTGGAATGCTCTATGTCACCTTGAAAACACGATTCCAACTTGGTATATTCAAAAAAAAAAAAGAAAAGAAAATTAAGAAACATGAATATTTTGTGGTGTCCCTGCGTGAATAGAAATGGAAATTAGATGAATCGAACGCTTTGACACATATCCGTACAACTGTATCAAAGTCCATGTAACATAGATGAGCAACAATTACTTCAACATTGTGTTCTCCATTGAATATTACTCTTTATTTTAATGTTTGATGGAAGAAAGAGTGAAGATCAATATTTAGAAAAAGAACCTAGATCTTCCCTTTCTTCGGAAGCCTTAGAAATAAATTGCCATTATTTCTTACAAAGTTTCTATTGAGACTGTGAAGATCATGTATGCCAAAAAATGAGAATGGGAGAAAGGAATACCAAGATTCCATTTGCTGAAATTCTTTAGCTAGTGTCCTTCGCAAGTATCCAGTGTCCAAAAATCCCCCAAATTGAACTAATTCTTTAACTCTTTTCATAGTTTCCCTGAAGAATCAAGCAAAACAAAATTAATTATTGATCAATCATCAAAGTGCATGCATAATGAGAAGAAGAAAATAATTGAAAGGCTTACCTCGGAATGAGGCCAAACCATGAATATATATTGCATAAATATTTACAAATTAATAAAAATAATCAAAGGCACTAAATCTGTGGTTTGCACAATCACAAATTTTAAACAAACTACCATATATAGAAAATACTAATTTCCTACTTCCAACACTCCCCCTCAAGCTGGTGTGAAGACATTCAACAAACGCAGCTTACCAATAGAAGACTGAAGTAGCATTGGACCCACAGACTTTGTGAACATGTCAGCTAACTGCTTAGAAGAAGAAACAAAGGATGGACTCAGGACACCTGTCCAAACCTTTTCTCTAATAAAATGTATATCAATCTCGATGTGTTCAGTACGCTCATGAAGTACTGAATCAGAGGAGAGCATAATAGCCGATTTGTTATCACAAAGCAAAGAAGGAGCAACTTCTTCAAATCCCAACTCTGAATAATAGATCGAAGCCATAGAATCTCACGTGTCCTGTGTCATGCCTCGATACTCAGCTTCGGCAGAAGATCTAGAAACAACTGCTTGTTTCTTACTTTTCCATGATATAAGATGATCACCATAGACAGTACATAAACCATAAGTGGAACGTCGATCAGTCCTAGATCATGCATAGTCAGCATCAGTAAAGCAGGAGAACCTGGATTGAGAGACTACTCAGAAGAATAATCCCAAATTAGAAGAAGTTTTCAGGTATCTCAAAATGTGATAAACAGCATCAAGATGCTCTGTACGAGGTGCATGCATGAATTGACTCACAACACTAACTGCAAATGTCAGATCAGGTCTAGTGTTGGTCAAGTAAATAAAACGACCAACAAGGCACTGATAGATGCATGGGTCTGCTAATAATTCACCAGACTCTGTGAGCTTAAAATTAGGATCCATAGGAGTAGAAGCAGGTTTGCATCCTAACATATCAGTATCTCTAAGCAAATCAAGAGTGTCCTTCCCCTGGGATAAAGAAATCCCCTGTCGAGAGTGTGCAACCTCAATACCTAGAAAGTATTTGAGATTCCCCAGATTCTTAATATCAAATTCTCTGCCTAACTCCCTTCTGACCTGACTAATGCTGACTGTATCATCGCCTGTGAGAATGATATCATCCACATAAACTAACAAGATGATACAGTGGCCTGCAGAGTTATAGCGGATGAAGCAAGTATGATCAGAATGACACTGAGAAAATCCCATGGATAGAATAACTGAGCTAAAACGACCAAACCATGCTCTGGGAGACTATTGAGACCGTATTAAGACTTGCGTAGGCGACACACTTTCCTCGAATACTACCTCTCAACCAAAAAACTGGGTGAAGGAGCCATGTAAATCGTCTCAAAAAGATCCCCATGAAGAAACGCATTCTTGACATCAAGCTAATGGAGAGGCCAAGAATGGGAAGCTGCAAGACAGATAAGGAGACGAACTATGGTAAGCTTTGCAGCAGGCGCAAAAGTAGCCCCAAAATCCTTGTCAGGAACCTAGGTGAAGCCCTATGCAACCAGCCACGCTTTGTAGCGGTCAACCGAGCTATCTGCCAAATATTTAATGGTGAACACCCATTTATAGCCAATGGTGCGCTCCCCAAAAGGTAAAGGAACAAAATCCCAGGTGTGATTTTGTTCTAAAGCTGCCAGCTCAATCTGCATAGCCACAGCCTAGTTTGAATTCCGAAGAGCTTCTTACACGGAACGGGGAATAGGATCTGACTCAAGCTTGCCAAGAAAATAACGATGAGAATCTGAAATTCTGTCATAAGAAAAATATTAGGAAATGGGATGATTAGTACTACTAAAATAACCCCAACAGTTGGGAAGATGTCTGTTATGAGGTGGGTTACGACGAGGAGGCGGGGTGGTAGAAATGGATGGATAAGAATTACCTGACCCAAGAAACGGAGAGGAGGCAGTAGAGAGCGAGGGCGACGAGGGTACACCTGCAATGGGGTGGGGCTTTGGGGAGGCTGTGAAGGAGGAGGATGAGAGAAAACAAGCTCATCCGCGACCTCGTCCAAAATAAGAATCGGTCAGGCATTGGACTCAACTTGAGGAGAAGCCTGCAACGAGTTATCAAAAAAAAGAAGATCCTCACAAAAAGTAACATCCAAAGTATGATGAAAGTGACGAGAAATATGATCATAACACCTATAACCTTTGGACATAGAGGAATAACCCAAGAAGACACAATGAATAGACTTGTTATCTATTTAGTTTGATTGGGACTCCGATCTTGGACAAAACAAGTACACCAAAAACATGGGGTATGAGAGGAACAAAGTAGCGTTAGGCATAAGAACACGGAATGGAGTAAGACCATGCAAAACACGACGTGAAATCCGATTAATGAGATAAATAGCAGTAAGCATAGTCATATGCCAATACGACTTGGGAACACCCATACTACAAAGGAGACACCTCACAACGGACATAATATGATGATTTTTACGTTCAGCAGCACCATTTTGTTCAGGGGTACGAGGACGGGTAAGCTGTTAAAGAATACCGGTCTAATTAAGATGGGAACGAAAAGCATCTGAAATGTACAAACTGGATGTTCCGAACAACTGTGCGAAACTGAGTCTTAACCATTTGTAAAAATGGAACAAAAATGAGAAACGCGTCCGATTTACAACGAAGGAGATAAACCCAAGTGCACCTAGTATGGTCATCAATAAAAGTCACATAATATCTATGGCTAGAAAAATCAATGACAGGAGAGAGGCCCCAAACATCAAAATGAATAAGATCAAAAACACTAAGAACACGAGTCATGTGAGGTATATAACTAGTACAGGTATGCTTAGACAACTCACAAACCACACAATGAAACTTAGGCCAAGTTTGTCATAGTTCAAATAATCCATCTTTTTATCTTTTTTCTATCATATCACCTCTCTATTTTTCTGCACATCTTTTCGTAAAAAGACAAAAAGTGCACTTATTTAGGTCATCCCAAACAACCCCTTATAATCCTTACAAGCTTTATTTAATAAAGGAAAAAATTGACATAAATACTGAAAATTGACATGACACATACGGGTGTGCCATAATTCTAAAGTTTTAACTAAAAAAACACAAGACACTAAATGAGGCAAAACAGACGCCTAAAAACTAACTAAACTAGACAGTCCGGTGGATCCCCAAAGTAGTAAAGCCCATCGCGCTCATAATCGCTGCCAAAAATCCTCTTCGAACTCAGGTCCTGTAAAAGACAGGAAGTGGGTAAGAATATGACAACAAAATTAAAAGTTTTGGCAAGACGAAAAGATTATAGGCAAAATTAGGAACATGTAAAACAGAAGGAAGGAAATATTAGGGGATAAGGAAAAAACACCAGTATAACGCACAGAGGATGAAGAACCATCAGCAAGACAAATAGATTGGGCAACAGTAGTAGGGACTAGATAGGAAAAAAAAAAGAAAATTCACCCGTCATATGATCATTAATCCCAGAATCCAGAACCCATGAGGGACTAGCAGACCGAACATAGAAAACAGTAGAAGTACCTGTAGCGAGAGTGGCAGTGGAGGTAGATGATGATGGGCCCAAAGAACTAGTGGTGAGGGATCCGAGTTGGGCTTGAATATGTCCAATCTGAGTTTGTAGCTAGCTGTCGAATACTAGAAGAGCCAGGAACCAAGAACAGGAGAGGCCTCCACTAGAGCCGTAGTACGAGAGGAGCCAGTACCACGTGTGTGAGAGAATCGTTGCTTTAACCCAGGATGAAGTTTGAAACAAGTAGCCTTAACATGCCTAGGTGCACCACAATGATGACAAGTCACAAAACCATTTGAACCTTGAGAAGCAGAACGTGCAGCAAGAGCCATCTGATCAGATAATCCCGGAGCAACCGGATGAGGGCTAGGTTGGACTAATCGCCGATGACGCTCATCACTATCAATGGTAGCAAAAGCCTCATAGAGACGACAAGGGTGATATGTTTAAAATCTGAGTCCGAAGAGACTCAAATTCAGAGTTTAAACCCATCAAAAGCTGATAAGTGTGCTGCCGGGCAAGACTCTTGGACACAAAGGAGGCAGCCTCTGTCGGAAGCTCCGTCAAAAGCTCATATTAAGCCAATTCTTCCCAACAGGCCTGAAGATACCCAAAAAGCTTGGCCATAGTGAGAACCAAAGTAGACTAAGAAGCATGAGCTATCTCTTGGTAGAGCTCAAAGATGCAAACATCATTATGAGCATGAGCATATGATGAAGATCATGGAAAGAAGAGAAAGAGCAAATCTGGGATTTCACATGAAGCACATTTAGGCCATCAAGAATTAAAGATTTGAAATAATTTTGAGTCTTCATGTCATTATAGTAGGTTTTAGTAATTAAGGATATAATGGTAATTCCAATAATTGTTGAACATGGGTTGTAGGGGTCACCTATAGGTTTTATTTTGGGCCAAGTTATTAAATGGGTCTTATATATGGATTTTATTATGTCTAAAATAATTTTAGTGGTCAAAAGTCTAAATTTCCTATTTTGATATTGAAGTAGAATTAAAAGTCAAGTTTCCTATTATGATTGAAGTAGAATTGGAAGTCATAGTTGGTCTAGAATATTAGTAGTTGCCAAATATTTTTTGTTTCTAAATTTGAGTTATAGTCCTTATAGAATTAGGAGAGTCTTTAGCCTAAGTATATGTGTAGAGCATCTCCAAGGGGATAGTTAAAAAAAACTTGTTAGGCATTTTAGCCAATGTAACTCTAATTTTGTGCTCCAATGGACTGGCTATCGGGCTAGCTACTTTACCATCCTACTTTTTTGTGGCTACAATTAAAGAGCCCTAGAGGCTCTCCAAACAAATATGTATATATATATCTTGGATTTTTGTATATTTATGTCTTGGATTTGGGATTTTATATATTTTATATATTTATGTGTATGTAACAATTTTATATATTCTTTCAATTATG